GTGGCCTGTTACAAACTAGTCAGAGGGGACCAGCAGGCGCTGGGGGAGTCCCTGTTCCCCCGAGCACGCCCAGGAGTGACCAGGAATAACGGTCACAAGCTGGCAGGGGGGAGATTCAGACTAGACATCAGGAGGTGACTTCACGGTCAGGGCGGCTAGGATCTGAACCCAACTTCCAAGAGAAGTGGTGCTGGCTCCTACCCTGGGGGTCTTTAAGAGGAGGCTGGATGAACGCCTTGCTGGGGTCGTCTGACCCCAGTACTCTTCCCTGCCGTGGCAGGGGGTCAGACTCGATGATCTGCTCAGGTCCCTCCCGACCCAACTGACTATAAAACGATGAGTTTTTCCTGAACAGCCAGCCAGGGTCCCAAGAAGGTGAAGCACTTAGACTCTGCCCCTGCATTTTGCTGCAGGACGTGGGAGTGCAGCCTGGGCCCAGGGCTCGCTGGGGCTGGCTTCCACCTCCTGTGCCCCACCGGTTGCTTGCAGGATGGGGCCAGGCTCTGGCTAAGCTGGCATGCGGTGCCCAGCAAAGCGAGATCCTGATCGTGGCCAGGCCTCCAGGCCCTCAGACAAGTCACGGACGCTGCTAGTAAGGATTCCCTTGTCATTCCTCTACAGCTCAGGGGTCTCTGTAGGGGTCCTGCAGGCTGGCTGCAAGCAGCACACCCATCCGGGGAACAGAAGCAGCTTTCCCCAACCCGTGCCCTGCTTCCTTCCACACAGACCATGGCAGGGTAAACCAAACCCCTCATAGCAAGGGCTAAATTTTTTATGTCCAAATATTCTTCCAGCCAGTGCCGCATGCCCTGATCCCTTCTGAGAGCTCATCCTGCAGAAGGTGCTTTATTTCCCCCAGCTCAGGATGCCGTTCGCAGCCAAGCTGGGACAATAAAGCCACGGGGTCAATTGCTCTGGCAAAACAAAAGCTTTTCCCCAAGCGTCGCAGGCCGGCGGAAAAGCCGTGTGCGGTGCTCGGAGGGGAAGCGGGGTGCTGACATGAAGGAAGGTCCAGGCCGGAAAAGCCTGAGCTTAGAGCTTCAGGAAGTTTTCTGTGTTTGTGTAAACGCTGCCAGGCCCCGCTCGAGCCACACAAAGGTTTTATTATTCCTGTCTTATCAAATCATGTACGTTCCTTCCTTGCCGATCCTACCCCCCAACTCTTACTTCCCAGCACCTTTTGGTAAAAAAAAATAATAATCCAGCCCCCGGCTGCCCTCACAGACCTGTGCCCCTTGTTGCCTGAAAGCCTCAGATCCTTTAATACCAAATGCATGGCTGCTCCAAACCCCAGAATGGGTTTCTTCCCCTTAATATAAAGGGGCAAGGGAGGAAGAACGGTACAACCTGGTAAGGGCTGGTGTGTAAGCAAGGTGAGCTGGACCAGCAGCAGCATTGTGTCCCCCAGTTGCATGACATCCGTTTCCGCCATGTAGCACGTGTCCTCTGTCCATCTCAGCATGCTGTACGACAGGCCCCAGCTTCACGATCCCTTTTACCGATGGGAAAGCCTAGGCATGCTTTGTCCTGGCTCTGGGTTGTCAGCAGAGCGATGACACC